TCATTATTTTAATTTTAGAGAAACACATGAAATAGTTTCATCAAATTTTCATTAAGTAGTATATATGAAACAATTTCATAACCACATATGAAACAACTTCATCAAAAAAAGTATTATATGAAACATTTCACAAGATTAACAATTTCATGAAAAAAATTCATAAGATTAACGATGGATGAGAGTAGTTTTTACGGTTTTTACAAATTGCAGTGGTTTTCATTTGATCAAAAAAAGTATTATATCTAAATTGATTGGGTTGTATTAGTTGTACAAATTAACTTAGTTGCATCTGAAATATTTTCTCTCTGTATATATATTATTTACTATAACTTACTACCTAATAATTTATTAATTATATTATTATATAGAAAAATCAATTAATTAAATAAAATGTTTTACTTTAGGTCGTAAAATGTTTTTGATTTAATAAATAAATGTTTGTATTTATGTATTAATTTTTTTTAAAGTAAATTGATTTATTCAAGAAATTCCTGAGTTACCAAAGTATCATTCATTTCCTATAACCTTCAATTTTATTTATCACTTTTTAATATCATTTCATCCTTTTATTCTTTCCTTAAGTCATTCAAGTTGAAACTTTAATTTAATTCAGACAAACCAGTACGTGTTAATATTAGATATTTGACCCAGAGATGAGCGGATTCGAAATATGGTTTGAGTGATACAACGAGGTTCGAGAAAATCTTTAACAATTACATAAAAATATATGTTTCTGCATAAATTTCACTAAAGTTTAGCATGTCGGTCGAGTTGGTGTGTCATAGAGATATGCACATCTCTCCATACAAAGACACTCAGTTTTTCAAGATCTACATAGTAAAGTTGACAAACCGGAAGTTAAAAGTTGTGTCCACTTTGTGACTAGTCAATTGCCACATTCCTGCATGGTTTACTTTCAAGAGATAGAGATCGTGAAGGGCCGTTTTGTGTCCGGTGCTTTCAACCATATTATTACTAGCGTACACTTAGGAAAAAACTTGCATTCATACTTGTTTTTTATTACTTGTCGTAGTTAATACTAAAGCTCACCAAATCTCAAAACAATTAATTTTGTAAAGCTCAACTTTGCACCGGAAGTTTGTGGAAATCTCAGGTTCAACCCCTGTCGATACGATCTTGACTATATCATTATATTACTTAAAAGCAAACATAGTAGTCGATGTACACTTACACCGCCATTGTGTAATATTTGTGGATATATTTGGTATCAATCTCCATAAGCAACTACCACAATGCATAGACCCTTGTTTGAGGGTAAAGTGGCCCATTTGCTTGCTTTAGGTTAACTTTTCTTTATTTTGTTGTTTGGGTTTTTGGTTTGTAACTTTTTTTTTCAATGAAAATTGGCGTGAGAATGAGTCGTTTAATTTTACTAGGTTTCGAACCATGGGCGGACCTACCGTGGTGGTTACGGTGGCATGTATCATCGTATTATTCCTTCGTCAAAGGGTAAAAAATCTTAGGTTCGTGAAATGTGCAACCGCATTAATATGTTGTGTGCTACCGAATGTATTTTGAAACTACAATGATAAACAAATTTTATTTGGTAGAGCTGGTTTGCAAGGCTTTTATTCCACCTCAAACCTAAGTTCGAATCGTGTTAGTGTCATTTTTTTAGTCAAATTGTATCACCGATTGAAAAAAAATTATGTATATTTGTTTCTTATAGTCAAACGGTGCCACCATTTAAACCTATAGTTTTTTCTTATATTCAAATGGTGTCATCGTTTGAAAAAAAAAAATCTGGGTCCGTCCCTGTTCCGAACCCATAAAAATTGTGTTTTCTACTTTTCTTGGATTAGAGATATTTCTTTGACTCTCCATCCCAAAACCATTGGACCCGCCATGTGGGCAACCATTCTAGAAGAAATTGATGGTTTCCATCTGACTTGTTAAAATTAATAGGTGGATATGGGTGATTAAAATAATTTATACAACCAGGATTTCTTATAATTTATTAACTTTTATAACTAAAATTTATATATAAAATAGAAAATATTTATACGTACCAATTCCCACTTAATTATGATTTATGATATTAAGTTTTTTGGGAACCTAAAACATAACGCGCTCAATTGATCAATTCCTTATTATCTATTTGGCCATTTCGTTTACTGATGCTCATTTTGCTACACAATTTTTTTTTTTATCAATTATTTACGTGGTTATAATTTACGTCTAATTATAAGTTGGAAAGTTGTTATGTATTTTAAGTTACTTTGCGTAACTTGTGATTTTACATATGTTTTTTTTAAACATAAAAGATTTTAGGCACGTTATTTGCTATCCGGACACGATTGTAGAGCGGGTAAGGACAAGTGTTCAAGCTCGTAAAAAATGGTTTGAATTTGCTAAACCAGATCTTTTGGAAAAAAAAAAGTTAGATCAAAGTTAGGCCAAATCCGTACAGATAACCAGCTAGAAGAAAGACGCTTAAGCTTTGGTCTTCAATTGAGTTGATGATTTCGTAGGACTAGTTGTGTACCCGCACAATGCGGCGGAAGACATAAATTTTAACGATTTTGAAGTTCCACTGATTTTATAAGATAAGATTTAACGATGATATATGTTACACTTGGTCTTTACATATTAATACAATTTGAATAAATAAGAGTTATGGTTCCAATTACAGACTAACAATGAAAAAAATTGTATGACAGTTTAAAATCCAATATATTTAAAATCCAACATATTTAAACGACTCCACAAATGTGTTCGATTTACACCAAGAGCAAAGAACCAAGAAACTTGAGTTTTAAGATAAACACTCAAAACCAATAAAGAAAAAACTACAAATTTGACAGATCATAAGCCATGAAAAGACAAAAAAAGATGGGTTTTAGAATGAAATTTCAACTGTTTACCCTCTTTTTTGTCCAGAAACTCAGATTAAGGTTGAATTAATACATATATATATATATATATATGTATTAAAAAAACCCAAGAACATGTTAATTCAGAATATATTATACAGTGCAATTTGGACAGCCTAACC